TGCGTTTTTCTGGATTATTTTTTTGTTATTCTGTCTCTCACTGTTCAAATAAACCTACCATTACAATTATAGACTGATCATTTCTTTGTCAGTGGGCAAACGTACAAAATCAGCAGGGGATCAAATACTATTTTCCCTCACTGTATGTCTTAAGGGGGCAAACACATGTATGTTGGGCTTTTATTTACTGAGTGATAAGTAAATGTGTGATTTCTTTTGAAAAGAGCTGTACTAAGGACTTACTGTACACATAGGATACAACATTTATGAAATGTTTTGACGGTTGTTAATGATTAGTCTACTCTAGAATGAAACATTTATTTAAAAGGGTTGAATGACCTCTGACCTTTGTCCTGATTTTCTAGTGTGATTTGATCACCCGCACTGGAAAACCGAGTGACATAGGATGATGAGTTTAAGGTAATTTATAGAGTTAAGGGTCATTTATAATATTGATAATTATGAAGAAGTTTATAATTTGGCAATAATCCTATATATCATTCCGAACAGAAAAAGGATGAAGTGAGAGAGTTAATCCTGAATGAGGGATATACCATGAATAATGTTATGAGGATACAATTAGGTTAAGATATTATTAAAGTTGTAATTTTAAGTTAAGTTATTATTTTGGTTTAACAGGCAATATTGTTGTTGTTTTGTTTTTTGAACACATTAATCACGATGTGATGCATGTGTCCAAAGGGGGGAAGTATTGGTTACATGGGATTTAATGTTTTTGTGGTTTACATGGGACTTAATTTTTTATGGTTTACATGGGATTTAATGTTTTTGTGGTTACAGGGGTTTTAATGTTTTTTTTTGTGGTAAAATATGCAAATTGTATTAAGTATGTGAGCAGTATTAATTAATGTGTTATTGGTTAGGTTAAATGTTTCATGTGAAAGTATAATTGTGGTAGGAGGCAGGGAGTAGAGTGGCCTGTCTATGAAACGAGTGGACTGCAACAAGCTATAAGGAGGTGCGCTTCAGAATCTCAAGGCTTCTCCTGACAGAAGAGAGGATATACAGTGGGGGAAAAAAGTATTTAGTCAGCCACCAATTGTGCAAGTTCTCCCATTTAAAAAGATGAGAGAGGCCTGTACTTTTCATCATAGGTGCACGTCAACTATGACAGACAAATTGAGAAAAAAAATTCCAGAAAATCACATTGTAGGATTTTTAATGAATTTATTTGCAAATTATGGTGGAAAATAAGTATTTGGTCACCTACAAACAAGCAAGATTTCTGGCTCTCATAGACCTGTAACTTCTTCTTTAAGAGGCTCCTCTGTCCTCCACTCGTTACCTGTATTAATGGCACCTGTTTGAACTTGTTATCAGTATAAAAGACACCTGTCCACAACCTCAAACAGTCACACTCCAAATTCCACTATGGCCAAGACCAAAGAGCTGTCAAAGGACACCAGAAACAAAATTGTAGACCTGCACCAGGCTGGGAAGACTGAATCTGCAATAGGTAAGCAGCTTGGTTTGAAGAAATCAACTGTGGGAGCAATTATTAGGAAATGGAAGACATACAAAACCACTGATAATCTCCCTCGATCTGGGGCTCCACGCAAGATCTCACCCTGTGGGGTCAAAATTATCACAAGAACGGTGAGCAAAAATCCCAGAACCACACGGGGGGACCTAGTGAATGACCTGCTGAGAGCTGGGACCAAAGTAACAAAGCCTACCATCAGTAACACACTACGCCGCCAGGGACTCAAATCCTGCAGTGCCAGACATGTCCCCCTGCTTAAGCCAGTACATGTCCAGGCCCGTCTGAAGTTTGCTAGAGTGCATTTGGATGATCCAGAAGAGGATTGGGAGAATGTCATATGGTCAGATGAAACAAAAATATAACTTTTTGGTAAAAACTAAACTCGTCGTGTTTGGAGGACAAAGAATGCTGAGTTGCATCCAAAGAACACCATACCTACTGTGAAGCATGGGGGTGGAAACATCATGCTTTGGGGCTGTTTTTCTGCAAAGGGACCAGGACGACTGATCCGTGTAAAGGAAAGAATGAATGGGGCCATGTATCGTGAGATTTTGAGTGAAAACCTCCTTCCATCAGCAAGGGCATTGAAGATGAAACGTGGCTGGGTCTTTCAGCATGACAATGATCCCAAACACACTGCCCGGGCAAGGAAGGAATGGCTTCGTAAGAAGCATTTCAAGGTCCTGGAGTGGCCTAGCCAGTCTCCAGATCTCAACCCCATAGAAAATCTTTGGAGGGAGTTGAAAGTCTGTGTTGCCCAGCGACAGCCCCAAAACATCACTGCTCTAGAGGAGATCTGCATGGAAGAATGGGCCAAAATACCAGCAACAGTGTGTGAAAACCTTGTGAAGACTTACAGAAAACATTTGACCTGTGTCATTGCCAACAAAGGGTTATATAACAAAGTATTGAGAAACTTTTGTTATTGACCAAATACTTATTTTCCACCATAATTTGCAAATAAATTCATAAAAAATCCTACAATGTGATTTTCTGGAGAAAAAAAATCTAATTTTGTCTGTCATAGTTGACGTGTACCTATGATGAAAATTACAGGCCTCTCTCATCTTTTTAAGTGGGAGAACTTGCACAATTGGTGGCTGACTAAATACTTTTTTCCCCCACTGTAAGTAGCATACTGTGCCTCACCTAACCTAACAATGTTCTTAAGACTTTCTTCCCATGGGTGAAGGTAACTTTGCCCAACTGAGTAGGAGAATCTGAGCATTTTCTGCACCCTGGAGATTATGTGACGGTAAAAGACTACAGAAGAAAGAGCTGGAAAGACCCTATGTTGAGGGGCCCGTACCAGGTGTTGTTGGCTACCTCAATGATGGTAAAAGTGGCAGAGACCGATACTTAGATCCATCTTTCCCACTATAGGAGTGTTCCAACCCCAGGAGAGGAAGACGGCCCCGCCATTGGGTAGCATTGTTGTCTTTTGTGTTTGTCTGTGTTTGTGTGTCTTTGCAGCAGTAACTCCGAGCTTCCCTATGGGTAGGCTGGTAGAAGGACACTCTTCGCAGACCGATGTCGATAGATTGAGAGGGACTCTGGCTGATCCGGAGACCCTAGTGACGGAAGAAGGTTAACAGCTAAAGTGACCATACATCGTCATCCAGGTTACACCAACAGCTGTACAGATAGAGGGGAGCGTGACCTGGTATCATCTAAACCATTGTACCAGAGTACCACGAGGGAACCGATGACTTAGAGATGAGAGAGCTGAGGATGCTGGAGCTGGCAAGAATCAGGAGATGGGGGAGGATGGCAATTACTGATGAGCTACTTGTTCTTGCTGATTCCCTCGCGGAGGGGCAGACCTTCGATACCTTCGAGACTTTCGAGACCTTCTAGATCTTCAAGATATTTCATACATCCAAGACGCACCAGATATCCCCATCATTGATTTCTCTGCCCTTGAGTAGTTCTCCTGAGAATAAAGGGAATAGCATACTGACAATAGTAAAGAGCAAAAGAACATGACAGAGAAGAGAAACAGACAGGATTAAAATGTATATTCCTGCACAGGCAGGAACCATAACTAAAATACAGAAAGGGATCGCTATTAAAGTACGAGGGTCAACTGGTTATTGGTGTGGGAGGAACCAGCACAAGGATTATGGGAAAATCACATGGGGTAACTGTGACCTTAAGATAATAAAAGAAAAAGACAGGTGGATCATAGACATAAGGATAACAGCCCAAGACTTAGATAAACAATTTGATGTTGTACTTAGTGCGACATTTTCAGGGGGAAGGGTTGGTGAAGTAGTTATTTCTTGGGAAAGTGCACTAAACCCTGTACATGTTACAGCCATACCAACTGCAGAAGAAAGGGAATGGAAGGAGCCATTAAACAATGACTAGTATAGATGAGTACAACATATTACATTAAAATTAGATAAAGAAACTAGGCTCGTAATTTAATAATTGTATTGTTATTTACAGATGACATACACGTTGTTATTAAGAAACATTAAAGTTCACATGTTCCAGAGGGCATTTCTGCCAAAAAACGCATTTTGATTTTAAAAAAAAGTTTACGTTCAAATGGATCTCCCGTGAAGTAGGGACGCGTGACATACGCCTAGTTTCCTGAAACAAGTCACATTTGTTTAAACAAGTCAGCCATATCAGCAGTTTTTTTTTTAAAGGCGGTGTAGTGTCGAGTTAAAGTCGCTAGTTATTGCTGTAACAAAGGAGTCCGCTCATACTGAACTTTGATCATAAGGTTTATTCATATCACAAGATTTCAGCATAAGTTTACGGGTGTCATGATCCCCCCCGGAGAGCAGCGTTTCCCAAATTGCAATGGCCGCTCTGCCGTTTTTGTCTCTAGCCTATACTTATAATCTTCCCCAAAATATGGGCTGCTCCCTCTACTGTCCAATCACCTGTCTCCAACGAACAGGGGTGTCACTACAAAATGGCTCCCTCTACTGTCCAATCCCCTGTCTACAACACACAGACCTCTCTGTCCTATGTGGCATCACACTAAAAACCATTCCCTTTGACACTAAATAAACATCCTCTCAAGTTCCACTTAAAACCATTAACAAAGTCATAATCTTAATACACTACAGCGGTAAATGAGGCTGAATGAACTGTTTTGCTGCTAGACAAGGCTCCGCTGATAGCCAGGTGTAGTGGTGGTAAGGATTCACTCCATGGTGCTGAAAAGAAAGATCTGCTGTTGGGACAGCTTTATGTAGGCCCTAACAGTTTATGGGCACCATTTGTCACCGTTATAGTGCAATTAATGTATAATTCAGTGTTGTGTTGTGGCTTTGCTGGCATGCATAAAACATTTGTTTGTCCCACCAAGATTTACATGCTAAAATCGCCACTGCAGGGACTATTCTAGTTTTGGGTCTCAGAACGGCAACGACCGGCCCTGGCGAGGAGGAGCAGCAAAAAGGGAAGGGAAACATTCAGCAGGTAGGAATTTCAGGGGTATAAAATAACAGGTCCTTTGGTTGGAGGACGCAGATCAATGTTTGTATTCAAGAGGAAGACCCTTTTCTGTCAGACTGAACAGGTGAGTCACAAAACGATGTCTCATTTGACAACGTAGAAAAAAAGAACATTTATTGAAATGGAACTAGTGTTGACTAGCCTACTAGTTAGTTCCCAACTCAAATAATTTACTGGATAATTTAAAGATAACCTTGAAGTGGGAATGATATAATTGACTCAACAACCAAAAACACATGAACCATAAAATCTGTAGTTATTTCTGGTTGTTTACTAAAGTTAGCTGGGTAACTAATTGATCCTGCTTTGTAGTCTGCTTTGTAGTACACCCCTCTGTTCCTTCAAGACAAATTGGTATGTCATGACAACATAATATGTTTATCCGTATTTGCATGTTTGTTTTATGCTACAGTACACATCGGCTGTTGACAACACATACATAATGAGGTAAAGGGACATTTGATGTTGCCAGTATTTTAAAATGTAAAGCTACAGTCTGGTTGCCTGAATTTAATTCCGCTGATTTTATCTATCGGTATGCTGGACAATAGAACGAGTCAAAATTCACCCAAAGCTGAAAAACTGCCAAATAACGTTGGCTAAGCTGGAACACTAGCGCGAGGTCACAGCAAATAAATTGAAACGAACCTTTGCTGAGCCTCTTCTGACTGATGCTTAGAATTCCACTTCCCCTAAATGGCATCAAAATATGTATCCCTTTTTTTATTTTACCACTACAATCTGTTTTTAGGACGAAACTGAAAAAGAACAACTTGTGTAGAAAGTAATCTGCGTAATGAGGAAGTAGGGAAAAAATGAAAACTTATATTTCTGGTCTAGTGATCAATGACAACCGAGCTCGCTGCCCAGATTTACATAATTACAAAGAAGAGATTCTCCTAATGAAAATGGTGTCCGACCTGAAAATATCTAAACATACACATTGTGAGATATTTGGCGAAATAGACAGACATGTCCGTGTAGAATTTCCCCATAGGGAAACAATGGCCATCCTCAAGAGTTCCAACAGTAATGTGTAATTTCTGACATTTGAAAGGCTAGCGTTTGATGACAGCAGAGCTCGCTGCCCAACCTTAAATCACTACAAAGAGGACATTCTCCTGATTAAAATGGTGTCCGACTTCAAAATCAAAATATACCCTATAGGAAACAATAATAACATGCCATTTAGCAGACGCTTTTATCCAAAGCGACTTAGTCATGCGTGCATAAATTGTTTTGTGTTTATGGGTGGTTCCGGGGATCGAACCCACTACCTTGGCTTTACAAGCGCCGTGCTCTACCAGCTGAGCTACAGAGGACCGCAATGGGATGACATCAGAGTTCCATAAGTAGAAGTTTTCACTACCAGCAAACTATGCTACCTACATTTAACGTAACATCATTAGAAATAATAGGTTATCCTGAATGAAATAGTGTAGAACTTCAAAACATCAAAATACATCCATTTTGAGTTATTCAGCTTACTTGTTAAAAAAAAACACTGTATAGCCTCAAAACATGGTTAAAACTATACTTTTTGTACCATGGATGGTCAGTCCTTCCATCCATAACTTTCTTTGCGGTTAAGAGCGTTGGACCAGTAACCCAAAGGTCGCTGGTTCGAATCCCCGAGCCGATTCTGTCGATATGCCCTTGAGCAAGGCACTTAACCTAATTGTTACTGTAAGTCGCTCTGGATAAGAATGTTTGCTAAATAAAATAACTGTATAAACATTTTAGTGGTTACATTTCTCCAGCCCTATCCCAAAACAGTGTCGGGAGTCCACTTTGTTATTGTTTCAACTGCTGATTGGCGTTTTAAGGGGGTGTGACTTTGGCAGATAATGTTACCCATCTTAAGAAAGATTTTTAAATATAATTAACTAAATAATAATAATAATAATAATAATCATAATCATAATAATCATCATAATAATTTAAAAAAGTTACCTGAGGTAAGCCTATAGATAGGGTTAACGCGGGCCGGTCTCATTGCCAACCATTGCGAAGTTGGCATTGTGATGCAGAACAATAGGCTGGGAATAGAACGTTCAGAAGGCGAGTTGGTGCCACGGTGCTCAATACAACTAATAGGGACTGGCAGGTGTAAAAATGCCCTAAAATAAGGCCTGTTTTTTCGCGATTACTTCAAAACTACGGCAAGCAGCTGGGACATATGGTAATATTATGAAACTGGCTCAATGCAATGAGCTAGTTTTTATCAGAACAAAGCATTGATAAAAATATCATGTGTCCAGCCGACTATAGGTCCATACTTTACATTAGTGTGGAGAAGAAACCCAAGTGGGCGTGACGTTTGGCTTCAGTGATGTGGATGGGTAGTCAAAAATTATGCTGCATTCATAACCAAGTGGGAAAGTGGAAATTACCAGTTGTTAAGTCATAAATACCATTTGGATGCATTCACATGCTTTGAACTCATAGAGAAACGCTGATTTAGCTAATGGCCAACAAGCTGTGTCAACCATGAACTAGAAGTACAGTTGTCATGTTTGTAAACAAATTGTAGTGTTTAAAAAAAGTAATAATTTATTTTTTATAAATGTTGTTTTGTTACATTTAACTGCCGAAAATGCTTTTATCAAGGTAATTTCCTTAGTAGGCAACGTCAGAGGTCAGCATTTGGAAGAAGTCGTTTTTTTTCAAAATTCAAACAAATTCAAACAAACCCCCTGGAGACATTTGAAACCCCACCTCTTTAAGGAACACCTGGGATAGGATAAAGTAATCCTTCTAATCCCCTCCTTACCCCCCCCCCCTCCCCCAAAAATAAATAATAATCATTATAATAATTATAATAATTATAATAATTGTAAAGTGGTTATAAGGTGAATGCACCAATTTGTAAGTCGCTCTGGATAAGAGCGTCTGCTAAATGACGTAAATGTAAAATGTAAACTACACATGGAATTTTAGAAAACGTGTTGCCTTCCATGTCGTAAATTGAGGAAGTATCCCCAAGTAAAGGTTGGTCGAAAATTATCTGCGCTGCGCTTAACATTACCTACCTAATAATGCCTATCAGCCAGCTGGAACAGTAAAAATGTCCTGACTAGGCAATATTTTTTATAGATAATCGAGCCCCATCCATCAGTTGCTTTTCTAATAAGTGTTTGGTGGTCGATTTTCTTTTTCTTTTTATAATTTGTATTTTATAGAATGCCAGATTGTAGCTTTAAGTTTCATTACAATTAAGTGTTTTTATGGCTGGCCTGGTACTGTATGACAAAATGCTATTGTTCCATATTGTCTAATCATTTGTTTTTTCCTCTCAAACAGCACAAGGGGGATTATTGTGAATGCTTTCCTACAATGTCAGACTGAAGGTAGTACTGCCTATTCATACCAAAAGCCATCTTAGTCTAATGATCTTTGTAATTGTGAAAGGTGATAAGTTACACATAAGATGTTTGTTGTTCATACTTCAGAGAAAGATTGTTCCAACATTATCCAATGATCAATAGTTTTCACACTTTGAATTTTCTCTGGATATTTCTTCTTGACCTAACCAGTACATATTTACTGCCCACGAAGGGCAATTTGAGTGAAGCTTAAATTTGTTTTATAAAAACACACAACATAAAACCATATGATACAACATACAGTGGTAGGTAGCTTAGTGGTTAAGAGCTGCCGATGTGCCCTTGAGCAAGGCACTTAACCCTAATTGCTCATGTAAGTCGCTCTGGATAAGAGCATCTGCTAAATGACTAAAATGTAAAATGTATTCACACCTCTTGACTTTTTCCACAGTTTGTTGTGTTAAAAAGTGGTATTCAAATGGATTTCATTGTCATTTTTTGTCAACGATCTACACAAAATACTCTGTAATGAAAGAGCTTTATACACCTGGATTGCACAATATTTGCCAATTATTATTTTAAAAGTTCTTCAAGCTCTGTCAAGTTGGTTGTTGATCATTGCTAGACAGCCATTTTCAAGTCTTTCCATAGATTTACAAGCTGTTTTAAGTGAAAACTGTAACTAGGCCACTCAGGAACATTCAATGTCGTATTGGTAAGCAACGGCAGTATAGATTTGGCCTTGTTTTTTGGGGGTTATTGTCCTGCTGAAAGGTGACTTTATGTACCATTGTCTGTTGGAAAGCAGACAGAACCAGGTTTTTCTCTACGACTATTTTGCCTGTGCTTAGCTCTATTCTGTTTTATTTAATTTAAAAAAAACTCACTAGTCCTTGCTGATGACAAGCATACCTATAACATGATGCAGCCACCACCATGCTTGAAAATATGAAGAGTGGTACTCAGTGATGTGTTGTATTGGATTTGCCCCAAACATAATGCTTTCTGTAAAGGCTTCCTTCATTTCAATCTGTCATTTAGGTTCATATTGTGGAGTAACTACAATGTTGTTGATCAATCCTCAGTTTTCTCCTATCAAAGCCATTAAACTCTGTAACTGTTTTACAATCACCATTGGTCTCATGGTGAAATCCCTGAGCGGGTTCCTTCCTCTCCAGCAACTGAGTTAGGAAGTACTCCTGTATTTTTATAGTGACTGGGTGTATTGATACAACATCTACCAATTGGTGACCTTCTTTGGAAGGCATTGGAAAACCTCCATGTTCTTTGTGGTTGAATCTGTGCTTGAAATTCAATACTCAACTGAGGGACCTTACAGATAACTGTATGTATGGGGTAGAGAGATGGGGTAGTCATTCAAAAATCATGTTAATCACTATTATTGCACAAAATGAGTCCATGCAACTTAGTATGTGATTTGTTAAGCACATTTTTACTCCTGAACTTTAAAACTTACGGTAAACATAAAATTAATATTAAGTCAATGGGTGTGAATACCTTCTAAGGCACTGTATGTACACTGCTCAAAAAAATTAAGGGAACACTAAAATAACACATCCTAGATCTGAATGAATGAAATAATCTTATTAAATACTTTTTTATTTACATAGTTGAATGTGCTGACAACAAAATCACACAAAAATTATCAATGGAAATCAAATGTATCAACCCATGGAGGTCTGGATTTGGAGTCACCCTCAAAATTAAAGTGGAAAACCACACTACAGGCTGATCCAACTTTGATGTAATGTCCTTAAAACAAGTCAAAATGAGGCTCAGTAGTGTGTGTGGCCTCCACGTGCCTGTATGACCTCCCTACAACGCCTGGGCATGCTCCTGATGAGGTGGCGGATGGTCTCCTGAGGGATCTCCTCCCAGACCTGGACTAAAGCATCCGCCAACTCCTGGACAGTCTGTGGTGCAACGTGGCGTTGGTGGATGGAGCGAGACATGATGGCCCAGATGTGCTCAATTGGATTCAGGTCTGGGGAATGGGCGGGCCAGTCCATAGCATCAATGCCTTCCTCTTGCAGGAACTGCTGACACACTCCAGCCACATGAGGTCTAGCATTGTCTTGCATTAGGAGGAACCCAGGGCCAACCGCACCAGCATATGGTCTCACAAGGGGTCTGAGGATCTCATCTCGGTACCTAATGGCAGTCAGGCTACCTCTGGCGAGCACATCGAGGGCTGTGCGGCCCCCCAAAGAAATGCCACCCCACACCATGACTGACCCACTGCCAAACCGGTCATGCTGGAGGATGTTGCAGGCAGCAGAACGTTCTCCACGCCGTCTCCAGACTCTGTCATGTCTGTCACATGTGCTCAGTGTGAACCTGCTTTCATCCGTGAAGAGCACAGGGCGCCAGTGGCGAATTTGCCAATCTTGGTGTTCTCTGGCAAATGCCAAACGTCCTGCACGGTGTTGGGCTGTAAGCACAACCCCCACCTGTGGATGTCGGGCCCTCATACCACCTTCATGGAGTCTGTTTCTGACCGTTTGAGCAGACACATGCACATTTGTGGCCTGCTGGAGGTCATTTTGCAGGGCTCTGGCAGTGCTCCTCCTGCTCCTCCTTGCACAAAGGCGGAGGTAGCAGTCCTGCTGCTGGGTTGTTGCCCTCCTACGGCCTCCTCCATGTCTCCTGATGTACTGGCCTGTCTCCTGGTAGTGCCTCCATGCTCTGGACACTACGCTGACAGACACAGCAAACCTTCTTGCCACAGCTCGCATTGAAGTTCCATCCTGGATGAGCTGCACTACCTGAGCCACTTGTGTGGGTTGTAGACTCCGTCTCATGCTACCACTAGAGTGAAAGCACCGCCAGCATTCAAAAGTGACCAAAACATCAGCCAGGAAGCATAGGAACTGAGAAGTGGTCTGTGGTCACCACCTGCAAAACCAGTCCTTTATTGGGGGTGTCTTGCTAATTGCCTATAATTTCCACCTGTTGTCTATTCCATTTGCACAACAGCATGTGACATTTATTGTCAATCAGTGTTGCTTCGTAAGTGGACAGTTTGATTTCACAGAAGTGTGATTGACTTGGAATTACATTGTGTTGTTTAAGTGTTCCCTTTATTTTTTTGAGCAGTGTATATACATATAGCCTAGAATAAGTGCAAGTACAATACGATAAGAAGTGCAAATATGCAAGTTGTTCGAGTGCGCCTGTTTTGCACACTGGACTGTTTGACGCATTTCTGCGTAACTCTGTATTCCGGAATAAAACTCTGTATTCTGTGATTTACCCTCCTGCGCCTGACTCCTTCAAATCACCCATCACAATGTATGTGGACACACCTTCAAATGAGTGGATTCAGCTATTTCAGCCACACCTGTTGCTGACAGGTGAATAAAATCAGGCACACTGCCATGCAATCTCCATAGACAAACATTGGCAGTAGAATGGCCCGTACTGAAGAGCTCAGTGACTTTCAATGTGGCACGTCATATGATGCCACTTTTCCAACAAGTCAGTTCGTCAAATTTCTGCCCTGCTAAAGCTGCCACGGTCAACTGTAAGTGCTGTTATTGTGAAGTGGAAACATCTAGGAGCAACAACGGCTCAGCCGGTGTGTGGTAGGTCACACAAGCTCACAGAACGTGACCGCTGAGTGCTGTAGCGCGTAGAGCGTACAAATCGCCAGTCCTCGGTTGCAACACTCACTACCGAGTTCCAAACTGCCTCTGGAAGCAACGTCAGCACAATAACTGTTCGTTGGGAGCTTCATGAAATGGGTTTCCATGGCCGAGCGGCCGCACACAAGCCTAAGTACACCATGCACAATGCCAAGCGTCAGCTGGAGTAGTGTAAAGCTCGTCGCCATTGGACTCTGGAGCAGTGGAAACGTGTTCTCTGGACTGATGAATCATGCTTCACCATCTGGCAGTCTGTCAGACAAATCTGGGTTTGGCAGCTGCCAGGAGAACGCTACCTGCATAATGCCAACTGTAAAGTTTGGTGGATGAGGAATAATGGTCTGGGGCTGTTTTTCATTGTTCGGGCGAGGCCCCTTAGTTCCAGTGAAGGGAAATCTTAACGGTACAGCATACAATGTCATTCTAGACGATTCTGTGCTTCCAACATTAAGGCAACCGTTTGGGGAAGGCCCTTTCCTGTTTCAGCATGACAATGCCCCCGTGCACAAAGCGAGGTCCATACAGAAATGATTTATCGAGATTGGTGTGGAAGAACTTGACTGGCCTGCATAGAGCCCTGACCTCAACCACATTCAACACCTTTGGGATTAATTGGAACTCCGACTTTGAGCCAGGCCTAATCACCCAGCATCAGTACCCGACCTCACTAATGCTCTTACATTTACATTTACATTTTGGTCATTTAGCAGACGCTCTTATCCAGAGCGACTTACAGTTAGCGCATACATTATTTTATCGAACTCACTACCCTGGCGTTGCAAACGCCATGCTCTACCAACTGAGCTACATCCCTGCCGGCCATTCCCTCCCCTACCCTGGACGACGCTGGGCCAATTGTGCGCCGCCCCATGGGTCTAGCAAGTCCCCGCAGCAATGTTCCAACTTCTAGTGGAAAGCCTTCCCAGAAGAGTGGAGGCTGTTATAGCAGCAAAGGAGGGACCAACTCCATATTAATGCCCATGATTTTGGAATGAGATGTTCGACGAGCAGGTGTCCACATACTTTTGGCAATGTAGTGTGTGTCCTTGAGGATTAATGAGACTTGAGCTATAGCATTCTTCAGCCTGGGTCAACGTAGTCTATGAGCTGCTTTTGGTTGGAATTTGTGGAGTGAGATTGCTATTATGTTTGTTGTTCAGGCTTCTGAGAAATTGTCACGATATTGCTCTTGTTGTAGATAAGTGAAATAACATGCATATGACATATATTACATTTTGTACTAATGTTGCCCTTTTGTGTTTTCAAGGTGGTGGCCTTAGATGTGTTTCAGACAAAGTGACAGCACATTGTAATGAAAGCATTTCACTTGACGACAAAAAGGGGTACAAGTTGAAGATCGGGCACCAAGATAACACTGTTTACAAAGGAAACAAGAAAGAAATTGAAGAGTTGAGCAAATTCTACCTTAAAGAGGAAGTGAAGATGGTAGTGATTGGTGTAATAGATGATGTTGATGAGTGTGAGGCAGAGAGTGGGCAACTGTTGATTTTGGTAGGTGAGGACTGGAAGGTGTATGCTTACGAGACAGAGTGTCTTCATCTGGTTGCAAATAGTATGCAAGATCTGTTTGCGTCACAGCTGAAGTACCCAGGAATCAAAACCTTCTACCGTGGCCAGTGTTTTGCAGACATGGTAAGATCAAAACTGTTTAGCGATGTATGTAACTACCTTATAATGAAGTTTCAAGAGGGACGTTTTGAGACAATTGAAATTATTAGAAAGTAGAGGTTTAGCGGCTAAACCACAAAGGGCAGGCCACCAAGGTAAAAACTGTTTAAACTCCACTTTTTCAGACAACAGAAGAATGGTCTAAAGTTGAACGTGACAGTGATGAGATTCAGAAAAAAAAGGATGAACATAAGTGTTTCCTGAAGTCAATGGAAGAAGAATTTCTGAAAAACCTTGACATCATCCAACGCAAATTACCAACGCAGATGATGCAGAACAAAAAGGTTCATTTTTGTATCATTTTCTATTAGTAATACTTTGCTCCTTAATTGTACATATTTGTATAAATGCGTTATTAGTTTCAATCAAGCATAAACAACAATGAAAAGGTTATATTCAGGCCATATTCAATGTGACAAGCTCTACTTAGACATTATTTTATAATTCTTATGGATTCATTCCTCATACGGGCAAATGTTTTCTCAACAGAGGCCAGTGAAAAACCTTGACATCATCCAACGCAAATTACCAACGCAGATGATGCAGAACAAAAAGGTTCATTTTTGTATCATTTTCTATTAGTAATACTTTGCTCCTTAATTGTACATCTTTTTATAAATGTGTTATTAGTTTCAATCAAGCATAAACAACAATGAAAAGGTTATATTCAGGCCATATTCAATGTGACAAGCTCTACTTAGACATTATTTTATAATTCTTATGGATTCATTCCTCATACGGGCAAATGTTTTCTCAACAGAGGCCAGTGAAAAACCTTGACATCATCCAACGCAAATTACCAACGCAGATGATGCAGAACAAAAAGGTTCATTTTTGTATCATTTTCTATTAGTAATACTTTGCTCCTTAATTGTACATCTTTTTATAAATGTGTTATTAGTTTCAATCAAGCATAAACAACAATGAAAAGGTTATATTCAGGCCATATTCAATGTGACAAGCTCTACTTAGACATTATTTTATAATTCTTATGGATTCATTCCTCATACGGGCAAATGTTTTCTCAACAGAGGCCAGTGAAAAACCTTGACATCATCCAACGCAAATTACCAACGCAGATGATGCAGAACAAAAAGGTTCATTTTTGTATCATTTTCTATTAGTAATACTTTGCTCCTTAATTGTACATCTTTTTATAAATGTGTTATTAGTTTCAATCAAGCATAAACAACAATGAAAAGGTTATATTCAGGCCATATTCAATGTGACAAGCTCTACTTAGACATTATTTTATAATTCTTATGGATTCATTCCTCATACGGGCAAATGTTTTCTCAACAGAGGCCAGTGAAAAGCCTTGACATCATCCAACGCAAATTACCAACGCAGATGATGCAGAACAAAAAGGTTCATTTTTGTATCATTTTCTATTAGTAATACTTTGCTCCTTAATTGTACATCTTTTTATAAATGTGTTATTAGTTTCAATCAAGCATAAACAACAATGAAAAGGTTATATTCAGGCCATATTCAATGTGACAAGCTCTACTTAGACATTATTTTATAATTCTTATGGATTCATTCCTCATACGGGCAAATGTTTTCTCAACAGAGGCCAATGAAAAACCTTGACATCATCCAACGCAAATTACTAACGCAGATGATGCAGAACAAAAAGGTTCATTTTTGTATCATTTTCTATTAGTAATACTTTGCTCCTTAATTGTACATCTTTTTTATAAATGTGTTATTAGTTTCAATCAAGCATAAACAACAATGAAAAGGTTATATTCAGGCCATATTCAATGTGACAAGCTCTACTTAGACATTATTTTATAATTCTTATGGATTCATTCCTCATACGGGCAAATGTTTTCTCAACAGAGGCCAGTGAAAAACCTTGACATCATCCAACGCAAATTACCAACGCAGATGATGCAGAACAAAAAGGTTCATTTTTGTATCATTTTCTATTAGTAATACTTTGCTCCTTAATTGTACATATTTTTATAAATGTGTTATTAGTTTCAATCAAGCATAAACAACAATGAAAAGGTTATATTCAGGCCATATTCAATGTGACAAGCTCTACTTAGACATTATTTTATAATTCTTATGGATTCATTCCTCATACGGGCAAATGTTTTCTCAACAGAGGCCAGTGAAAAACCTTGACATCATCCAACGCAAATTACTAACGCAGATGATGCAGAAAAAAAAGGTTCATTTTTGTATCATTTTCTATTAGTAATACTTTGCTCCTTAATTGTACATCTTTTTATAAATGTGTTATTAGTTTCAATCAAGCATAAACAACAATGAAAAGGTTATATTCAGGCCATATTCAATGTGACAAGCTCTACTTAGACATTATTTTATAATTCTTATGGATTCATTCCTCATACGGGCAAATATTTTCTCAACAGAGGCCAGTGAATTGGTGTGAAAAAGCTACAGTAGAAGACCCCAAAAAGAAGCTGCGTTCTAATTGTAATCGTCTGTGTTTAACCTATTAATAATAATAATAATATGCCATTTAGCAGACGCTTTTATCCAAAGCGACTTACAGTCATGCGTTCATACATTTTTATGTATGGGTGATCCCGGGGAGCGAACCCACTACCTTGGCGTTACAAGCGCCGTGCTCTACCAGCTGAGCTACAGAGGATAGGTGTTCCCTATGACACTGATGTTTGTCTATTGCACTCTTCATGCACCTTTTGCACATATTTATATTGCACATTATATACAGGTGCAGCTCAATAAATTAGAATATTGTGGAAAAGTTAAGTAATTTCAATAATTCAATTGACAAAGTGAAACTCATATATATCGTGGATTAATTACACAAAACGTGAAATAGTTCAAGCCTCTATTTGTTTTAATCTTGATGATTACGGTTTACAGCTCATGAAAACCCCAGTATCTCAGAAAATTAGAATATGACATAAGTCCAGTGAAAAAAGGAAATGTAATACAGATGTCAGCCTTCTGAAAAGTATGTTCTTGTACATGCAGTCAGTACTTGGTTGGGGCTCCTTTTGCATGAATCACTGCATCTATGTGGCGTGGCATGGAGTCGAACAGCTTGTGGCACTGCTGAGGTGTTATGGAAGCCCAGGTTGCTTCGATAGCGGCCTTCAGCTCATCTGCATTGTTGGGTCTCGTGTCTCTCATCTTCCTCTTGACAATACCCCATAAATTCTCTATGGGGTTCAGATCAGGCAAGTTTGCTGGCCAATCAAGCACAGTAATCCCATGGTCTTTGAACCAGGTATTGGTACCTTTGGTAGTGTGGGCAGGTGCCAAGTCCTGCTGGAAAATAAAATCAGCATCTCCATAAAGCTTGTCAGCAGAAGGAATGGTTGAGAAACAAGATTCTCTGGTCTGATGAAACCAAGATTGAACTCTTTGGCCTGAATGCCAAGCGTCACGTCTGGAGGAAACCTGGCACCATCCCTACGGTGAAGCATGGTGGTGGCAGCATCATGCTGTGGGTATGTTTTTCAGTGGCAGGGACTGGGAGACTAGTCAGGATCGAGGAAAGATGTACAGAGAGATCCTTGATGAAGACCTGCTCCAGAGCGCTCAGGACGTCAGACTGGGACGAAGGTTCATCTTCCAACAGGACAATGACCCTAAGCACACAGCCAAGACAATGCAGGAGTGGCTTCGGGACAAGTCTCTGAATGTCCTTGATTGACCCAGACAGAGCCCGGACTTGAACCCGATACAACATCTCTGGAGAGACCTGAAAATAGCTTTGCAGTGACACTCCCCATCCAACCTGACAGAATTTGAGAGGATCTGCAGAGAAGAATTGGAGAAACTCCCCAAATACAGGTGTGCCAAGCTTGTAGCGTTATACCCAAGAAGACTTGAGGCTGTAATCGCTGCCAAAGGTGCTTCAACTAAGTACTGAGTAAAGGGTCTGAATACTTATGTAAATGTGATATTTCAGTTTTTTATCTAAAAACCTGTTTTTGCTTTGTCATTATGGGGTATTGTGTGTAGATTGAGGGGGGGAAACTATTTAATAAATTTTAGAATAAGGCTGTAACTTAACAAAATGTGGAAAAAGTCAAGGTGTCTGAATACTTTCCGAATGCACTGTAAGGCTTTGCATTTAGGCCAAAAAGTGTATTCCTTTGCTGTGTTTTTTTTTGGAGTATTACTTTAGTGCCTTTTTGGAATATTTGCATGTTTGCAAATAGTTGCATGTTTTGGAATATTTGTATTCTGTATATTTGTATTATTTTCACTGTCATTTAGTTTATTATTGAGAGTCACTACAATGTTGTTGATCCATCCTCAGTTTTCTTCCATCACAGCCATTTAACTCTGTAACTGTTGTAAAATCACCAATGGCCTCATGGTAACATCCCTGAGCAGTTTCATTCCTGTCCTGCAGCTCAGTTCAGAAGGACGACTATCTTTGATGTGTCTGGGTGGTTTAATACATAATCCACAGCATAATTATTAACTTGACCATGCTTAAAGAGATATTCAATGTCTGATTTGTTTTTGTTACCCATCTACCAATCACTTCCCTTCTTTATGAGGCTTTCGAAAAGCTCCCTGGTCTTTGTAGTTGAATCTGTGCTAGAAATTCAATACTTGACATGCAGAGAACCTTAATGAAAAGGTTCCTGGAGTCACCTTTAGGGGTTCCGCCGGTGTAGCAATCTAAGGAACCCCTAAAGGATCCTCCAGGAACGTTTAAAAAAAAAAAGTGATCTTTGTAAAGCACTTTTTTTTTCTCTGTACAAATAAGTATTTCTGTAAACTTTTAAATATATTTTTTTATCACATTTGACAAACCCCTCCCACCCCTGATCTCAAGTAAACCCCTGGCGTGATTGAATAGTGTAACATTTAGGTTAGCCAACTCAGATGAGCTGGAAGATGAGCTGGAACTTAAAGTTCCCTAAAGTGCATATGAAGCACAAAAGTAAAAAATCTGTCATCGTCAATTATGATAGACTGATAGATTAAAAAGTCATTATATTACAATAACACTAATCATGTTAGGAGATTTGAATGATGTATTACACCACTCTCGCGTTTAGTTTTTTTTCACTGACAGCCCTTAACATTTTCTCTCCTTGATGTCAGAAATACTGCTTGTGTTCATCCTTCCCCTCTAGTGAGGGACTAAAAGTCATACCTGGGAAACCAGGGGAGTGGAATCTCTGGCCATATGGGTGGGGCTGCAGCTAAGGAAATTCAGCTAGTGCAATGTGTTGCCAACCTTGCGGACAACCACTCCTACAGGGTGTCATGTGATTATTATAAATTTTACAGATCACATCAGCTTTGTAGC